GCTGGATCTCTTGAATCGGCACATGGAGCTGACCTCCTTCTCTGGGGACCCCACCTCCTGGAGTGAGTAATAAAATGTAAGGGGTTTTCCTGGTCCTGATGGCTCCGCCTTGTTATGAAGTCATTGCCATGTCTAGATAGCAGTCACTGTATGACAACTTTCCTTCATTTAAAACTCCGTATCTGTTCCCCACAAACTCCCTGTTCCTTTCCTGACGGCTGCCTCCTCGTGGCACTATCTTCTAAACATACTGTGATTTACTTGTACGTTTTGTTTATTGCCCGGCTTTCCTCACTAGACAATCAACCCAATGAGTCAACAGTTCCTTCTGATTTCTTTGCTACTGTGTTTTCAGTATCTCAGGGATCAGGCATGTAGCAGATGCTCAGTCAATTCTTCGTTGAGGGTTGAATTAATACGACCAGTCCTTATAATTTAATTACAAATATAGGATGCAAGTAGAAATGAAGTGGTTGTATAAAATAAAGTCTCTTTTCAGATAAAGTCTATTTAAATGGCTTTCAAATGGAGAAGGATTTTCCAGTTCTTGAAAAATCTGACATTAAGCTTGTCTCAAGGTATCAATTCTTACAACCATAAAACACTATGACCTTTGAAATGGAATTTAAAATATTCATGCCTCATTTAGATCACACGTAATTTATGGCAATTAATTAGTGTTACATGAATTAGCTGTTTACTAAATCACTTTATATTCTCTCCCAGCCCACCTAATCTTTGGACCTGACCTAAATGGCATAAGACTTGCCTACTATTTAATTAAAATTTTATTAGAAGTAGTAATGGGGCAACTATGTGATCCCAAATGAAAGGATCATAATAACTAGATTCAAGATGACAGCCTATTTTTAAAAACTTTTAATTGTGATTAGGGTGAAAGTTTACATAGCAAATTGATTTTCCATTTAATAATTCATACTCATTTTGATTCAGGATCTTGATGGCAATCTCTAAAATTTAATCACACTCTTCCCATTTCCTCTTTATATTTACTATTTCCATTTGCCCTGCTTTCTTGCCCCTGAGCTTCATCCCTGGGAAAAACTGCCCATTAGATTTTGTATGGTTGTTCTAAAAAGTGAATATCTCTCTGTTGTCACTGTCACCTGATAGGTCCCTCTACTGTTTGGCTGAAAGCTGAGCCATGGAAGTGAGTGAGGCTCCAGGTCTGAAGGGTGTCTAAGGACCACAGTATCTCTTAGATTGGTAGCAAACCAAAAATCCACTGCCAGTGAGTCATAGAGGCCCTATAGGACAGGATAGAACTGCCTTGTGAATTTATGAGACTGTAACTCTTCGCAGGAGTAGAAAGCCTCATCTTTTTCCTGGTAGACGAGAAGTCTGGTCTATTTTATGGTTTTAAACCTTGCTCTACATTTTTATCCCACTCTATCCAGGACCCCCAATAGTGATCCCTTTCAAAACCATCAACAGAGGTATGCAGACACCATCTAGCTCTTCTGGTCTCAAAGTCATGGAGGCTGGAGTTCATGAATCACCTTGGTTCTTTGGGCTAATTATTTCCATGTGTTTGATTTTCTTCACTTTTCTTTTCTCCAGAAGGGGAGAGACTAATGTTTGTATCTTAGATGGAAAATCACATCAATTTTTTGAACTCATATAACACTAACAACAATGAATCCTCCACCCCCTCAAATATTCAAGATAGGAGAAACCAAACAAACAAAAGAACTGGCTCTCTGCCTCCAGAAAACCCTATGGAGCAGTTCTACTTGGCCCCAGAGAGTCACCATGGTCAAGGTCAACTTGTAGTATACTGTATATGAAAACTGGAGGAAGAACAAGCTTGCAGTAACTCTTGGGTTTTTGAGCATCCAGGTAGATCCTGGGGCCACAAAACAAGAGGGAGAGCATGAACTAAGCACTTCCTTATCCAGCAATTCCCTTGCTCTGATGTTTCCTCTAATTCTCCACGGTCTACAAGTTGTTCCTTCTCCCTCCCCACCCTCTCATCTCTTCCCTACACACAGCACCTCATGACACTGTACTTTGAGTTAATTTGAATATCCCTGACTGTTCCCAAGATCCGGCTCTCTGTTAGCTTATGATCAACCCAACTGTCATTGATGATGAATATGGGAATCTACCCAGGCTGACAAATCTATGCTAATAGTGGTCTTCCTGGGACCACGTCTTAGCTCAATGCAGTGTCTCAAATGGAAATTTCAGGTACAACAATAGATAGTCAGTAGCATCTTGGGTGATGGGAGTCTTCTGACAGCCTTCATATGCTACACAACACAAAGAACATGTCCATTGTCTCCCTTCATCCACATTTCTGCTATTCATCCCCTTGGGGGAGTGGGGCTATCTATCCAACCTTGTGATGGGTTCCCCTTTTCTCTCCCTTTCTCCTCCCATCCCCCCACTCTCATGATATTGCTACTCCACTATTGTTCCTGAGGGGTTTATCTGTCCTGAATTCTGTGTTGAGAGCTCTTTTATGTACCAATGTGTGGTTTCCGGTCTAGCTAAATATGTAAGGTAGAACTGGGTCATGGTAGTGGGGAGGGGGAAGTATTCAGGAACTAGAGGAATGATGTGATTCATTGGTGGTACACTGCACTTTGGTTGAATCATCCCTTCCTTATACCACTTCTGTAGGAGGATATCCAATTATCTATAGATGGCCTTTGGGTCTCTATTCCAACCCCCCTCTTTTGCATCAATATAGTTGTTTGTTTTTGATCTTTTGATTCCCTGATGACTGATCCCATTGACAACTTATGATCACACAGGCTGGTGTGCTTCTTCCATGTGGGCTTATTTGCTTCCCTGCTAGATGGCTGCTTGTTTGACTTCAAACCTTTAAGACCCCAGACGCTACATCTTTTGATACCTGGGCACCATCCACTCACTTCGTCACATTTGCTTATGCACCCATGTTGTCTTCAGTGATCGTGTTGGGAAGGTGAGTATCAAAGAGTGCCAGGTTATCAGAACAAAGTGTTCTGTGTCAAGGGATGCCTTGAGTAGAGGCCCAAAGTCCATCTGCTATCTTAATACTTATCATATAAATAAATGTACACTGGCCTCTATCCCTTTCATTAGAAATTAATATATTTATTTTAAAAATTAATATATTTACATATTCCTGCCTATAGCTGTAGCTCTATAGATAGCTTTTGCTTCCTATTTCTTTCCTCTATTTCCTTTCACCTTCTTCCTATCCCACTATCATGCTCACCCTCCATTCAGCTCTCAGTATTTCCTCTTGGAAACATGGCTCTTGATCAAGCCTCACCCGGCATTATACGCCCTCCTCGCCATCAATTTTAGATCTCTTGTTGTTCCCTTATCTCTGAGTTTGTTGGCTCCCCACTCCCCTTCCCCGCCCCCTCCTCTCCCATGTCTCCACTGGAACCACCAGTCCTGTAGTTTTCTCTTCGAAATTGTTCCGTCTTGTCTATCTTATATAGATAGTCATAGGGCAAAAGAAAAAAAATAAAACAAACAGAACAAGAGAAAAACAAATAAATAAACAACCAGCCGATAGTTCCAGGCCTGTCTATTGACCCTTATGTATGTTTTTCAATCAAGTTTGATGAGGTGCCAATACTTGTCTTCCCAAATTAGACGTCTATTTTCAGGATTCCTTGGGGACTTAGTTACTTTGCTCCCCTGGCTGCCCTGCTGCATTCCCTTCACGTCTCACGCCCTGTGCATGGGGCAGACCAGGCACACTTTCTGCACAATTTCTCCAGTGCTGTCCCCTATGATGCTATGGGTCAGTGAGAGAATGTTGTGTCTTGTGGTGGGGTCAGCCCTACGGTCCTCTTTATGCACTGGCTGCTCTGAGCAGGGATGTTGCCCCTGGGGCTTGGTGGGCCAGGATGAGGTCCACTCTCTCTCTCTGTCTCTCTTAGTTCACTCCTGTGTGGTCTAGACAGACCCGCCTCTCTCCCCAGGCTGTATCTTCAGTGTTGTCCACTGTATTGCCTTCTTCTGGGGAGGGGGTCAACATAGCTCGGCTTGGGCCCTGCCCCATCATCCTCTCTGTTAGTTTGTTGCTCCATGCCAGTGTAATCAATATCCCTTATAATGAACACTGAAGCTAGTTAATTGTTTTCTACCACTGGTAAGCAGGGTTTCTAACTCCTTTGAACCAGTTCAATTATGACCAACACATCAAAATTGGAACAGATCCAAATTTGTAAAGTATGGGTGTATCTGAAATGACAAACGGGGTGGGAAATTTTCTAGATTAAAGCCCTGGAGTGGGAGACTGGTGCAGGAGATTGGGTTACAAGTAAGACTGTGGAGAACGACACACACTCATCTAAGCTGGCCACCTGTCCAGAGATTTAGTTGTTATGTGACATGCACACCACCCTTGTTTTCTAAGAGGGAGCTTAAATTTCTATCAAGGCACCAACCAATAATTTTTCCTATTCCATTTATCATTCCAGTACACCCACATTTTGCAAATTTGAGCCTGTCTTGTTTGTTTTGTCGGCCCTGACTGAACCCGGAAGAAAAGCTTCTAAATCCCTTATGAAAGCCTTCTTTTTAAGATTAGGTCTCCCACACTTTGCCAAGTTCCTGGCATAACAAAATTACTGGGTAGGAAATCTTTGTCAGAAAAAAAAATTAGATTATTTCTAGATTAATCTCCTTTGTGATCCCTTTACCTGGCGTGGCTATAGGTATCCAGCAAGAAATAGTCATTATTAAAAGATAAGCCTGGGGAAATCTCAAATAACTGTTATATAGGAGAAAAAAACTCAATGTTGAAATTATTCATAAAATCATTTAATAAATATTACTGCACTTCAAAATATGGATTGGACAGCAGTTTATGGGATTAGGAACAATTTCTGTACTTCCTGAGAAATCCTGAAAGTAGCCCGAACTTTTAAATTGATCTTTCTGTAGCTCAGTTGATTTTATCAAGTATGCTCACCATTAGTAAATGTTACCTCCAAACAAGGGATCCATCAGCATGTTCTTATACTCACCAATAAACCTGATGATCCTTCGAAGTAAAGGGTTCAGGTAACAGCATTCTCCGGTCAGAATTGTTTTCTCCTGGGCAATCAGGGATTCTCTGGTTGACTTTATGAAATACATGGATATCTCACCAATAAAAATCTGAGGAGAGAATGTTTAACAAGTGTCACCGTGAAGAACTGTTTGATAAAAAAGACAAACTTTCTCCCTTCTTTTTATATCACCATTGAGGATCCACGCTACTTCTAAAAGAAACAAAGTGAGATAGTGTTTACACTTAGCTCATCAAAAGAAAGAGAAAGTAATAATGAATCATTCATACAGATTTTGGGCTGTAATATTAAATTCTGAGGTCAAATAATAAATAATACATTCTAATAGAATTATGAGAAGGCTCATATAGGGACTGATGCCTCTAAATTCAGTCTGTGAGTTAACGTATATACTCATGTATAAGCTGAGTTTTTCAGCACATTTTTTTATGCAGTTATTGTGGTAAAATTAGGTGCCTTGGCTGATATTCGAGTTGGCTTATACTCAAGTATACAGTATAATGATGAGGCAGGAGATGGGGCAGTCCATGCCCTTCAGGGACAATAATATGTCCCTACCCATATTATTTATTGCATTTACATTGTGGTGCTGGAGAATATTGAAAATACCATGGACTACTAAAATGGCAAACAGATCTATCTTGGAAGAAGTACAGCCAGGGTGCTCCTTGGAGGCAAGGATGATGAGACTTTGTCTTACATACTTTGGACGTATTGTCAGGAGAGACCAATCCCTGGAGAAGGTCATGATGCTTGGTAAAGTAGAGGGGCAGTGAGAAAGACAAAGGCCCTCAAGGAGATGGATTGACAAAGTGGCTGTAACAATGGGCTGTAGCCTAGGAACAATTGTGAAGGAGGCGAAGGATGGTGCAGCATTACGTTCTGTTTTGTATAGGGTTGCTAGGGGTTGGAACTGACTCATTGGCACTCAATCCCCAAATATTATCTATAGTAAAAATATATATTGAATGTGTTTATTTCAGCTATATGAGGAGGGCCCCCCCAAAAAAAAAAACACACCCCAGAAAAAAGTTCCGTTGAGCAGAGCTTTCATAGAATGCATTTTCCGCACTAGGTGAGCATCAAGCAACTCACTCTGAGTTAGTGCACTCAGTGGCGTCAAGTGGGAAGGTTCTTTCTGGTCACAGTAAACTTTTTTGTAAAAGCAGTTTCACTTGAACCTCATTTTTTGTGGTGGTCAATTTAAGAGAACAGTGTGTGGCTGTGAAATTTTGTTTCCTGCTTGAGAAAAATGCAGTAGAAACTGTTGTGATGTTGAACACAGCTTACAAAGACAGCACTATGGGAAAAACTCAAGTGTATGAGTGGTTTTCTCATTTCAAAAGAGGTGAGATGTCAATTGATGACAAACCTTATTCTGGACGTCTGTCAGCTTCCCAACTGGATGAAAATGTTGACTGGTAGTACATTTGGAGTTTGTTCCACCAGATTTCACTGTTAATCAAGATTTCTATTTAGAGGTTCTGAAAAGATTGCATAACAGTGTGCAACAAAAGAGGCCTGGTTTGTGGCAGACTGGGACTGCTTTGGCCACCACAACAATGCACTTGCTCACGCAGCCATCTCAGTACACCAGTTTTTGGAAAAAAACAGCCTGCCTCTCTTGCCCCACACACCTTACTTGCCTGACCTCGCTCTGTGTGACTTCTTTTTGTTTCCGTGAATACAGAGGGACATGAAAGGACAGTGATTTGATGACAGAAGAGGTGAAGAAAAAAACAAGGGAGGTGCTGTTAGCCATCCAAACAGATGAGTTTGAAAAATATTTCCAAGAATGTAATTACATATTTGACAAATGTATTAAGTGTAATGGAGAGTATTTTGAAGGTGATAAGGTTGTTTTTTTAAAAAAATTTAAATACATAGTGTTGATAAAAAAAAATCTGTGGTGGTTTTTTTTGGGGGGGTGTTGTACTCGCTCATATGTCTTCTCTGAACTGGTTTACGGTCTTTCTTTATCCTTGTTGTTGTTGTTGTTGTTGTTAGGTGCTGCTGAGTTGGTTCAGACTCCGTGACCCTATGCATGACAGAACATCCGCACATTTACGTGTAAGCCCACTGCTGCAGTCACACTGTTAATCCTTCTCCTTGAAGGTCTTCCTCACCTTTTGCTGACCTTCTACTTTACCAAGCATGATGCCCTTTTCCAGGGACCGGTCTCTTCTGATACCACGTCCTAAGTGCGTGAGAGGAAGTCTTGCCATCCTGGCTTCCAGGGAACATTCTGACTCCTTCTTCTAAGACAGATTTATTTGTTCTTCAGAAAATTCATGGTACTTTCAATATTCTTGGCCAGTGTTTCACCAACACATAATTCCAATGCACCACTTCTTCAATCTTCCTTAATTGCCCAACTTTCACATGTGGTATATCCTTAGTCTTCAGTTTAAAGTTGTTTTATTACATAGATAGATAATATCTATGTATGTGCATGCATCTAGCCTTCAGTTCGGAAACCTTAGAGCTCTGTCACACTCTAAAGAGTAATGCCACTTCCTTGTGGTTGGAGGACTCTGCACCAGTTCCCGCAGCGATGGGGAAGTTGTGTAGAATTTCATGGTGCCAAGTAATCTGATCTGAATCACAGAGGAATCCATCAGCTGGGCCAACAAATGCCAAGACAGAGGCCAGGTACAGGGGTCAGCAGGTGCGACAGTGGCTCAGTCCTGACACGGAATAGGCACCTTAATCAAAGTGGAGTGGTAATTAGGCAGAGAGAAACAGAATCCAGGGTCAAGTAGGCAGACATTGGGCCAGCCTGGGTTGTGCTGACAGATGCTGTCTAGAGACGGTGTTTGAGTTGCAGACATTTACTGTCTAATACTCCTAATATCTCTATTGTTCTTCATCTTCATTAACAGATGGAGATGAATTCCAACATGTGAATAAGTGTTTCCTTTAGGGAGATTTCCCCGACCCACATGACTATGTTAGACCAGTTTCGGCATTCTTTTTATACTTTACTCTGTTACTTGAGTTTCTCGTTTCTAGCTTTATCACAACTAACTATATGCTATTACTCTTTGGCTTCTTTGTCTGTGGGATGTCCTGCCCATGTTGCTCACAGTTGGTCCCCAGGGCCTATCCCCGTGTAAGGTCTACAGCAGTTGTTCAATGCAGAATGAGTTAAGCCCATCAGACTAATAAGGGTCTGTGGGTTTGATGAAGCAGACTATAAAGGTAAACAAATACTGTCTCTTCCAAATTGGGTGAACATGTCACGGCTCTCAGTAAAACCTTGCCAAGTCCCCCAGCAAAAGGGAGCCCCTGTCCTTGGTGGCCCTCCCAGACCATCACACAGATATCTATCTAGCCAATTCATTGCAATTATTGTCTGTGTCTCTTTTGTCCATTTGAGTGTGATATCTATGAGGGAAGTATGACTATATATCTGTCCTTCCTTTTATAGCGCCTAAGCCAGGATCTGGTTGGTGGTAGGGCAAATTAGTCTTTACTGAAAAAAATGAAAGATTAAATGCTTAAAGGGTCAACCTTCTAACCTTAATTTCTCTGAAAATGAACATTTTTGGATATTTCCCAAACAACCAAAAAACATAAAATAACTGATGTCATGCTTAAGAAAAAAGGAAAACCAGGGTGTCCATGATACAAAGTGTGCTCTCTCTTTTAAATGAAATCCACACATTTACTCATGTAATGAAGTCCCTCGATGGGGCAAATGGTTAATCACTCGACTACTCACTGAAAGGTTGGGAGTTCAAACCCACCCCCAGCGGTGCCTCAGAAGATGAGCTTGGTGATCCACTTCTGAAAGTTCCTAGCTGTGAGAAAGCCATGGGGCAGATCTACACTGTGCACATGGGACCTCCGTGTATTAAAACGGAATAAGTTATTTAGGGTCAGCAGGTGGGGGCGGGGGTGGGGGCAACATTGTGCTTGGCACTGTTCTAACACGGGAGCTGTAGCAGGGAACACAGACAGAGTGGGGGAAATGTGAACACGTGTAAAATGCTTTAAAAACAAAGCAGAAAATTGGAATGAGAGTGGCAAATGGTGGCAGTTAATAATAAGACACAAAGTAAACATTGATTCAGCCATTTCAGATGTTGAAAACGTTCTTACTATGCAGAAAAAGAGATGAGCAAATTCTAGAAGACTATGAGTCACACAAGAGGGCTTAAAGAGACAAGAAAATCTGCACACAACCTTGTCCTCGTGAAAAGCAAACACACACACACACACACACAAAATCAACCCAAGGTAAAGTAGACCAAATAGAACTGGTCATGCAAGAAGCATGAGACTCAAACATATGCACAAGAAAATGTTCCTTTGACTCTCACATCAATAGAGGTGAGCAGTACAAGGATTGTTGTAGCCAGCCAACAACACTCACTTCACAGATAAGATTGGGAACACATGAGAAGTTCCATAGTAAGGCTCTGTACAAGTCTATACATTTTGTCAATCACAATGCCTGAGCTATAGAAGGATAAATCCAAAAGTACTGACACAAAACCAGAGAAAATTTCATTAAACAGATATACCAAGATATAAAGCGATTGTTTCTCCACATGTCCTCTACTTAGGTCTCTACACTCCTAAAGCTACTGCTTTTGCCTGTATAACCCTTCCTGAAGAACGATGTGCACTCGCTTTACATCACTCCAAAATAATAGTTTTGGTGCCCTCAAGAAACGCAGGTTCTTTTGAGTTTGGGAAACAAAAAGAAACCTGAAGGTTCAAGGTCAGGGCTGGATGGGTAAGCTTTCTCAGGGAAATTCTGCTGACCCTCAAAGAATGAGCAGGGACACATGTCACAAACAACTTCTCTGGCCTTTCTCTCATGGACGCTGTTTTCTTAAAATTCCTTCCTAAAAGCTCCCCCTGATCATTCTGTGTCTTTTGAGAAAATCTATAAAGATGACCGCTTTGGAATCTCACTAAACTGTTACCATAACCTTCTGAGCCGGCGTTCTCAACCAGTGGGTCACAACCCCCTTGGGAGTCGAATGACCCTTTCACAGGGGTCGCCTACGACCATCAGAAAACACATATTTCCAATGGTCTTAGGAACCGAGACCCCGCTCCTCTATCCATCTCCAG